CAAATCCGGGGTTCTGCAGTTCAAAGCTGCCGTAACTGTATACACCTGAAGGAGTAGAAATGTGCTTTCTAGGAACAAATCCCACTATATGCTCTGGAAATTGCTGAAAGAAAAAAGAAATTTAAAAAATGAGAACTAAGCCCACACTTTGAAATGTGTGTTAAGTCTCTTCATAAGAAAGATCTATGCTTTTCTTAAATGAGAGGAGAACAAGATTATTGCCAAGAAAGAATCAAATTGTTGGCATATGGTCCTTTGATCAGCATAAATGTTGCAATTAAATACAGTTTTGCAAAATGCATTTTGCAATATGACACAACATGCCTCATTCCACATCATGTAGTGCCAAGAAACATCTATCCACGATTTGCAACTGGGTATTGGGCACTTTTTACAATTTCTCTCAGAGAGAAAAAAACTGCACAATTTTGCTTTGCAGTGTACTATCAACTTAAATAAATTCAGCAGTTAGCAACTTCAGTGTTCATGTACAAGAAAAGTTAAAAATTTGAAAGCTATAGATTACAGGTATAGCTACTATTGAATAATATTTTTGCAACTTCTTCAGTCCTTCTAAAATTTAACTTTACAGCTAGAAAATCAGTGGTAAAACATTATGATACAATATTACTCTAATTAAAACCATTAATCTCAATTGTAACTCACAAATACTACCGGCCAAGGTGCAAAACATTACCTGCCAAACAGAAAAGGCAAAAGCAAGGTCATGAGCACTGACTAGTGTGTCATCATCCATCATTAAAACAGCTGAAGAGAGGAAAAAGAAAAAAAGAAAAACTTTTAAACTTATCAAAAGATTAAATACATGTGTATGCAGCACAGCATTTGACAAATTAGCTGTGAAACTTCTATAACCATTACACTGTACTGCAGAACTGAATTGTAATTCCTTGAAAGCAGATTGAGAAAACATATTCAGATTTCAGTGCAAAAGCAAGGCTGCAGCTTTGTGGTAACTGGAAGCAAACCTAAGTTTTAGATTATTTGCCACACTGTAACAAAACTCAGCAACCTCTGATGATCTATAGCGTAGCTGGACACGTGTGTTAGAAAACTTGTCGTGTTTGGTGAAGCAACTTTCTACTAAAATTATGGAAAACCACAACTAAAGAGTTTGATACTATTCTTTAGCATATGAGATTAGTATAAAAATTTACCTATCTCCTCAGTACTTGCAAGTTCTAAATAAGCAAGTTCTAATAACTAAGGGAACATTCAATATGTTTAACTACATGAGGAAGAATCATTGCCTTAAATTTTTGGCAAAAGTACTATCAGGAATTAGAAAAGAAAAGATATTCTTAGATCAGAACTCCAGAGGCTTTAAAGTTTTTAAAGTTTATAGTCAGAATATATCCTATTACAGTAAATAAAGCATTTAGGAAGTTGAAGTTTCTAATGTCTTCCTAGAAGTCATGGGGTTTGAGTAGCAAGGCATGTTAGGAAGGGGGCATTAAACAGAATTACCTTTATTAATCATGAGTAAGGTCAGGTCTGTAATGCAACATATGTGGGTTTTTTCCACTTGAAACAAACAGGGCTTATTGTTGTGCTTCTCCTGGAAAGAGCTTAGGAAGAATATTTAGATGAATACCCAAAAGACTGGGAAAAGATTCTTAAAAAGGATACATGATTTGAGATAGAAGGCCAGACAGTTAGGGAGGGAAGTTTCTCTGAAGAGCAGAACATGCTTGAGAACTTAGTCTTAAAATGAATGGATTAAATCAGGTCTTTACCAGATCATTTAAGTCCATATTAATGCAGAGACTCAACAAATACATGCAGTATGAATTTCAGTTTAGACTATAAAGGGAAGAGAGGCCGAACTACCTGTGTTTGTCTGACAAAGGAAATGGAGAACAGACACAGCAAAAGCCTATGAAATGTATTTGGCTTCCCTCTGTTTTTCCCTACTCTTCACTGGCAGCCTGTAGCCTGCTGCTGGTGGTGGTGTGCATCTCATAACATAGGTTTCTTCTACGCTACCCACATTCTATTAAGTGGCCCAACGGATCCATGGATTTATGACACAGTGTAACTCAAACCATCTCTCTTTTAGCATTCAGGATTTTAAGTATGAAAATAATATTAGTAGTAGCGATATGAAGTGCTGATTACCTTTTGTTTCCAGCTCAGGGAAATTCTGGAGTCTGTTCCTCATGCGATTTACGGTTTGAACTTTGAAGACAACAGGGACAGGATGAGGCCCCAAGGAATTCCACATTTCCTCTGGTATCTTCTCACCAATGTTGTTCCACACAACAATTACTTTATGTAGGTGGGGGATGGCCTGATAATGGTTTAAAAGCTTTAGCAGTAAGTCAGTTCTGTTATACGTCTGCATGATAAGAGTAAATGAATCCAAGGCAGACTGACTCTGGGTTTTTGCTTCCCTTCTCAAATGGGGCATTTTGTCATCTTTGATAGTGGGAAGCAAAGCTGTTAAAGCACCTGCCACAAGAAGCAAGACAATGATCACCACAGAAGTGAAGCGTAGTAGGCGGATTCCCATAACTCTTCCTGGAAGCTTACAGAAGTGAAGATACCTTTAAAGCAAGAAACAGGAAAGGAAAAGTGATTAATCCCATGTATGATTATCTCCCTCACTTGAGCAAAACTCCCACAATATTAAGTAGACTTTTGTTGAAGTAAATAAGTGAGGGGGATTTTAGGACTCAGGCCAATTACTTTCAACTATTAAGACAGATACTTCTGGTACTCAATTTTAGTATTTACTTGCTTTTCACTTTTTTTGGATAACTTTGAACTTCATTGTTCTGTGAAAATAAGTCTAGGGTAAATTTTTAAGGCGAGATTGTTCATCATCTCTTACGTTCTCAGTACTGCATTTCTGACTGAACATTTACATACCCCACCAAACCCATCCAGCTGAAATTAGATAACAAACTTGTATAGATTCATTATTTTCAGCACTGCAGGAGCTCTGCCTTAACCAGGAAACAAAAGGGAGAGAAGGTGCCCCCTCAAAAGCTCTGGCAGAAAGGAGGAAGTTAAATGCTCTTTTTTTCCTGTTGCTCAGGCATCGCGCACAGAAGGAATAATCTTTATCACTGATTTGCTGGACATTTTGCCCATAGTTTGTATATCTGCTGAATAATGGTTATTAATGTGGAAAATATGATTCTGATCATACTAACTGAGGCAATTAACACAAGTGGAGCAAAAGAAACTTGCCAAATGGCATAATGTAGGAATGCAACAACTTCAGTAACAGCTGGTCAACTACATCTAGAACTCAGTGGAAACTGGCAATGTCAGGTGATATGTTTCAGCTCACTGGAGGGGCAGCCTTAGGATAAGACAAGAGTTTCTGGATCCTCCTGGTTTTGGAACTAAACAGGAGTTCTTAAAAAGCACCTCCTACAAAGGTAGCCCAGACGTTCATGCCTTTTAGGTAGCACTCCCCATTCTCCAGACATTTATAAACTGTAATCTCAGCAGGATCCAGCAGCCACTACATTCCATAGTTTGCACTTTAAATGTGTCACCACATCTGTTCTTCCTCCTTTACTTGGAAGATTAGTATGAGCTGAATACAAGATGAATATTCTAAGCTTACTAAAAAGTCACTCATCCATACATATTACTCACGTTACTCCAATAGTAATTTTTATGCTTTCAGCAGGGAATTCTGATCAAATCAAGTGATGCAGGACAGCCCCATCAATTACAAAATTTCAGAGTATCTCTGTGTTTTTTTTCACAGAAATTTTGATAATTTTTTTCTACAGTGGATATACCACGCTTAAAAATACAAATTCAAATTACTTTAGTCTAAAAGACCTCTCAACTTACCTCATTGTTGCAAAGTAGGATGGTTTTCCCCCTCCTTGTTTTTACAGGACAGTTGTTTGTGATCTTTGAATCTGTTGGAAAGAAAAGGGACTCTATAACTGAAGATAACTAGTTATCCCACATGCTACCCAGCACTCTTTTACACGTAAACGTTCCTCTCAGTTGCTGCTTGATGTATGCATTCTTGGCAATTATGCAATCCCTTTTCCTATTGCTCAGTTGAATAATTGTCTCTGCCTTTCAATGAACACTCCAGAAAGTTATTCCACCAGTTGGTTAGAAAGCAAAGCACACCGTATGTCTCTGCTTGTAAAATTATTGCTTTGTACCAACTCAATGTCTATGTGTTCCATTCTTATAGGCAACTACAGAGATACAAGTACTCCAGAACCTCACAGTCTGTTGCTTTGTTCATCAGGCAACACTAAAGTACATATTTGGCTACCACAGTCAGGTGAGTAGTCCCAATAAAATTATTTTCTTACGTGGCTCACCCCTGTCAGCTTCCACTAAGCTTACAGATGTGTTAGAGGTTTAAGACACAACATTTTGTTCTTCCCATCCTGTGTCTATTAAGGCTCCTAGGTTGTTGGAGGGATTTTTGTTCTTTTAAAACTAGTTGAACAAAGAAAGGAAGGTTTTAATTTTGATTTAGGAATGGTACTGTAAAAGTTTAGAGAGCAAGAACTTGTATTTAATAACTGAACCTACTTCTTAAAAGTACAGAATTGCCAATTTTTGTGTATACCAATCTGAATATCCCCCTTCCCCCAGTTCTTCACAAATTTGATTTCTAGTTTTACCGCTGACTTATTTTGTGAGACTGGAGAGCTCGTTTAAGCTATTTCTGTAAGTTAATCACTTGTTTTGGTTGCTTCACTTTATAGGTGTAAAAAATGATGCCTGACTTCTAAAACTGATTGGCAGCATTTCTTAGTACCACCATATCTTGGTCATCCAAGCTTTTAAAAAGCTGAACCTTAGAGTCTCTTTCCCCAGTTGCAACCTAGACACAACAGTACTTACGAGCACTACTGTAACAATTAAGTAGTTAAAGTTTGAAAGCATACTTAAGGTGAAAGTATAAATGTTTACTGGGGTAATGAAACTTTGTGGCTTGCCATACATTCTTGCATTTACTCAATTGCATACAATAGACTGCAATGATAAGTAGGGATGATATTATTATATACTCTGTAAGTTAAATAAACATCGGTATAAAGTTGTTAGAATTAGCATCACGGCACATTCCAGTGAGAAAATCCCCGTCAGTTTTACCAATCAAGTTAGGAAATTGCAATGCGAGGTTTACCTCTTTAAAAAACGCTTACAATACCCCCCCATAGAGAGTACCTCTTCAAAACGAAATTGACGAAAATAAAACCCCTATGTCAAAATACAGTATTTTAATTCTCCCTCCCGACTCTAACAATTCCATGGCCCCAAG